TAATAAGCATAAATTTTGCTGAAAGATGATGCTTATTCCGATCATAAGATTTTTTAATATCCCATGTTTACGTATTGATAGAGATTGTACATGCATGTAATTTTGTATTTATAATCTACATATAATGAAAATGCTAGAACATCATAACCAAAGTGAAATTTTTTAAAAGAGAAATTCTTTTACCCCAACAAAAGTTCAGGTTTGTTCACATTCACGATAAAAATTTTTCTGAGGTCTAGCAAGGCCAAAGAATTTGGTGATCAATTCTTCGCAGAGCAGATGAATAACAAGGTAAACATCTGAATTTTGTAGCAAGATTTTACAACGCGAAATGAGATTTATTTTGTCATGACGATTTGCCTCCGTCACAGCCAAATTGACATGTTATCCCCTCCCTCTTTGAGAAACATGTACCCCTCGTAATTTGGTCGAAGAGAATTACAAACATTCACATACATGGATAGGTTTAGCAAACCTGCCTATGAGAGTTTATTACCCCCTCCCCCTCCCCTTTATCGCCCGCTAAGCAAAATCCCTGGTTCACCTTTGACATTTTTAACACACCCTAGCCCACGAAAAAAAAAATTGTAATTTTTTACAGCACTGAAATTTCGGAATGATGGTCTTCCTTCTTGCATGTCATCCTGTAAATTGTTCCTTCCGTCCTAAAATATTATATGTCACTTAAATACTAATGTACGGCTTCTTTTACTGTTTTCCCGATTGTTTACCAAATCTATTGGTCTCTGTAGGTGTTTATCCGATGTCTTGGCAGAATTTTATCACTACTCAATGCCCACCTATTCCGAAAACGTCCCTTTTTTGATCAATTCCGATCCGTCTTAATAAGTTCTAGCTTTGATTGCTCAGCCATTTTACAACTTTAAACATTCAAATTCTGCATGTTTGACGTGATAACTTCTGTTAACATCGTAATGTAAATGTCATCCACATTTCCACAGATTTTTTTAAAATACAAATGAAATTTATAAAGTGATCAAAAAATTTTTAATTAAAATTTTGCAGTGCTCCGGGTCTCCATTCCAAGTATAATCATGAAGCCATAATTGAAAATAAACAATGGAAATTGAATAAGAGTCCTCGTGACGAACCATGATTTGATTCAGTGCTACGGGGAAAAATAAGAATTAAAAACCATCTTTGTATCAAAGCACAAAAAAACTAAAGAAAGATTCCTATTAGTCCGCATATAGAAAGGTCCAAAATTTACGTAACAATATGAAAAAGCATGTGATCAAATTATTACAATATCTAATTTGAAGATTCAAGTAATGTAAGAATAAGTTATATTGGAAGTTGATGAAAGACTCATTTGAAATGAAATTTTATTTTATTTTTTTTTTTTGGAACCGCAAAACTGTGAACATTGAGCGCATGATGATCTCATGTTGATCGGACGTTGAACACAAGGTAAACGAAAGGTGGTCTAACGGAAAAATGAGAAAGTAGAACGTTTCGTAATATATCTTATATGTGTTTAGATGACAGTGTGTGTCAAACGTGCTCAGTTGATCGTGTGTATCAGTGGTGATAAGTTGACTGTGTGTGTGCTAAATGTGCTTTGTTGACAGTGTGTATTAAACGTGTTTAAATGACAGTGTGTGTCAGACGTGCCCAGTTGCCCGTGTGCTTTAGAAGTGTTCAGTTGACTGTGTGTGTGCTAAATGTGCTTAGTTGACTGTGTGTATTAAAAGTGTTTAAATGACAGTGTGTGTCAGACGTGCTCAATTGACTGTGTTCAGGTGATAGGTTGTAAATGAAACCAGTAAGTTAGAAGCACTTGTTTCCAGACTTTTGATGCAGTCAATAAAATATGTTCAAAACAAGGCTTTGTGAACGGTTAACGCGAGACGTCGTTGAACGCTGAACCGCAAAACTGTGAACAAATACGGATGAGCGCATGGTAAGCAGATGTTGAACGCACGGTGAATGTAAGGTGGGCAAACGGAAAAATTAGAAAATAGAACGTTTCCTTATATATATGTATATACTTAAAATGTTTCAACATATATTTATTTAAAATTCCTGACTGTGCTAAAATTCAAAATTAAGTAAATTAATGGACTGTTTTCAAAGTACATTCTATAAAGATACATTTCTATTTAAACCGTGGCGTCGGTAGTGTAGTGGTAAAGGTGCCGGACTCCAACCGAAAGGTTGTTAGTTTAAGTCCTGGCCACTGCAAGTTGACGTTGTGTCCTTGGGAAAGGCACTTTACACGAATTTCCTCACTCCTCCCATTAGTTTAACATGGCTATAGACAGTGAAAGATATTGTCAGAATGTTAGCGTTCTAGCACCTTAACACCAGCTTGCACTGACAAATATTCTGGATTATGGTCTGATCGGGTAATAATGTATTGTAAAGCGCTTTGAGTAGCATTCATGCTAGAAAAACGCTATCTAAAAACAATTATTATTATAATTATTATTATATTATTGTGCTTCACTTGACAAAATTAAACATTTTTCCCTGAAACACCTTGAGTAACTAAAACATATGAATGGGCACTTTTTGTACGCTTCGGTTGATGTATTCCGGGATGTGTTAAAACCTGTCTATAAAGATTATGTATACTTGACTATGTTAACGAGGCGGATCGATTTAATATTTCTATATTGGTAAATTGTGTTAACTGGAGATGGAATTGTTGATCATATGCTTTTAAAAGATGTGTTTAATTAGTTGACTGCGTATACATGTATCAGATGTGGTTATTTGACTGTGTGTGTCAGATGTGGTTAGTTGACTGTGTTGGAGGTGCACAGTTAAACATGTCTTTAAGAAGTGATTACTTGGCTGTGTGTGCTGAACGTGCTTTGTTAACTGTGTGCTAAGATGACAGTGTGTGTCAAACGTGCTCAATTGATCGTGTGTATCAGTGGTGATAAGTTGACTGTGTGTGTGCTAAATGTGCTTTGTTGACTGTGTGTATTAAACGTGTTTAAATGACAGTGTGTGTCAGACGTGCTCAATTGACTGTGTTCAGGTGATAGGTTGTAAATGAAACCAGTAAGTTAGAAGCACTTGTTTCCAGACTTTTGATGCAGTCAATAAAATATGTTCAAAACAAGGCTTTGTGAACGGTTAACGCGAGACGTCGTTGAACGCTGAACCGCAAAACTGTAAACAAATACGGATGAGCGCATGGTAAGCAGACGTTGAACGCACGGTGAATGTAAGGTGGGCAAACGGAAAAATTGGAAAATAGAACGTTTCCTTATATATATTTAAATAGTTAGAATGTTTCAACATATATTTATTTAAAATTCCTGACTGTGCTAAAATTCAAAATAAAGTAAATTAATGGACTGTTTTCAAAGTACATTCTATAAAGATACATTTCTATTTAAACCGTGGCGTCGGTCAGCAGGTGTGGCACGATAAAGATCCCTCGCTGCTCAAAGGCCGTAAGTGTCGATCATAGGCCTAAATTTGCAGTCCTTCACCTGCAATGGTTACATCTCCATATCAGTGAAATATTCTGAAGAGGGACGTTAAACAGTATACAATCAATCAATCAATCAAACGTGCTCAGTTGATCGTGGGGATCAGTGGTGATAAGTTGACTGTGTGTGTGCTAAATGTGCTTTGTTGACTGTGTGTATTTAACGTGTTTAAATGACAGTGTGTGTCAGACGTGCCCAGTTGCCTGTGTGCTTTAGAAGTGTTCAGTTGATAGCGTGTAAGCTAAATGTGCTTTGTTGACTGTGTGTATTAAACGTGTTTAAATGACAGTGTGTGTCAGACGTGCCCAGTTGCCTGTGTGCTTTAGAAGTGTTCAGTTGATAGTGTGTAAATGAAAGTGTTCAATTGGTTGTGTATCGGTTTAGTGTTCACTTGGTATGTGAAAAATCAAGGAATGAAATAATCATTTTTTGATACATACAAGGTCTGATATGATGTTTACTTGTTATTTTAAGTAAAAAAATAAACATTTCTTCCTTCTAACTCTCTTTTACAAGATGTGTCCATTTGCATGTGGGAAGTTAAGGTGTTCAGTCGGCACGTCATACACGTATGTGTGTGTGTGTGTGTGTGTTCTTTACAGTTAAATATATATAAATTAAGAACAACGCATAGGTACTGATAAAAATGCTTATGTGATTATAATCTGTAAAATAAAAAAAATCTATTTTTTAATATTACTTACATAAGTATGCCTCAGAAGATACGTATTTTGCCGGACATGGATTCGCAAAAGTTGTACAAGGTGCATTGAAGTTGTCTTGAATTCTTTCTCCTTGCATATTGTATTCAGCACAAAATCCTGTTCAAAACACATAATTATAGAACATGAATTGATTTGTTTGATTTTCATTTTTTAAGAATTCTAATTACACTCTTTCTATAATGTCTAATTCTTTATCAATTAAAAACAGAACGAATCTTACATTATTGATATCATTCGTATGCCTAATCATATTTTGGAGACGAAAGAAGTATAAAAAAATAAATTTAATCAATATTCCCACATAAATGATGAAAAATATTACATTTAAGCCATACATGCACCTTAAGCATCACAATGTTTAACAATATTTAGATTTTAAAAAATATCTTTTCATTCTTTCTTTTGAAAAAAAAATATAACAAAAATTTAACTACAATTATTTTGTACAGCGATATTGTTTTTTTTTTCTAATTTGTACAGAAAAATATTATAATGAATCAAATTACACATCTAAAAAAGTAATGTTAAGAAAAAAAGTGTAGGTTTCCGCTAAAAGACGTAATATCCATTTGCAGTTGATCATGTGATTTGCTATATAAATGGAACATGAACATGACTTGATGATATGTTCGCATTATATTTTTTTTTCTTATCAAAACGATTATTTTACTTTTGATTCCAATTTTGCTTTACGTTTTCTGTACGTGTTTGTGGATAATTAAAATCAATATTGATTTTGAATCCAACCCTTCCATGTGTATTTGTTTGCGAGTGTGTGTCTGTGTGTGAATGTGTCTTAAAGTGCATTTAAATGTTTGCTTCTGAATACATATGTAATTTGTCTGTTTTAATACATAAAAAAAATCAAACCTATACAAAACCAAGTAGGGGCACAGACTTCCAAGGTCGCATTTATGAATGAATTGATCACACAGTGGTATTGAAAGAGTTCTGGTGTAACACACTCTTGCTTGATGCCTGAGCAATTTTTTCTCAATGCAGCATTCATCCAATCATCTCGTGTTTGTGGACAACCGTCTACGTATTTGAGAGTCTTGCTAGACTGTGGACAGTTCCTGCTACTTTCAACCTTTGTACAATGTATATAAATTACAAAATAGCTAAACTGTTTGCTTTGCATTAGAATAAAGATGCAGCTTTCTCTTACATTCTGCAAAACAAGCTTTGAGAGTGGGATTATAACTCCATTATAGCATGTTTTAGCTAATTTTAATAATAATCATTACCGTAACATTCAGCATTAAAACACCAAATACAAAGCAAAGATCTTGCTTGCAGCTTCGATGCCGGGTAGTCATACCTAAAATTAATAAGAACATTTTCCTAATTGTATTGTACACAAAGATATTTTGAGAAAAATATTTTAATTTGCTTCTCTAGTTGTCCTTCTTTCTCTCTATTTCTGTTCTTTCACTACGTGTCTAACTCTCATAAAGCAAAATGTTTTAACATTAAATTTCATTGTCTTTCTAATATGCTGTTTTATACTTTATTTCTCTATAAAGAAAGGAAAAAAATATTTTGCACTGGGGATTTGATGGTAAAATCCTTTGTCTGTTGATGTGCTTTTAAAGGAAATATAATTGGAAACTAGATATGAATTTTGATATAAGAAAGCTCTAACTACACAAAACTAACCTATAACTTAAGTTGCAGTGATTGGAGTTTTCTTAATACATACAAAATCATTGGTCATGATCTCAATAGATAAGTTCATTTTGATTTCTACAGTCAGTGGATACAAAACAAAAAATAACAGGATATTCCGTTAGGACAAATTATTATCAAACATCTAATGTATAAATTGAAAAAGAGTTTTTTAAAAAGAAAGAAAAAAAACAAAAACGAATCGTGCCAATGGTTCTTAACAGAGAGAAAAAATGTATACTGTATAATACGAAAAAAGAACAAAGGAAATCAAAAGACAAGGTTTTTTGTGGAAAAACAAAACACATTAAATACTTAACATTAAAAAAATAATGGAAAGAAATTGGAGTAAAGTTTTCACTCACCTTTCCCTTACTTAAGTATTAAACCGAAAATTGTGAAATAAGAAGTACACGTGTCTCCTTTTGAATTGTGTGTAATGTCGTCATGTGACCAAAATGTTTTCGAAAGTATAATTATCAATTTGAAAAAAAGTCTCTGGCTTATACTTACTGTTATCAGTTTGTTTGAAGTTTTAAAAAGTTGTCAAAATACTAATTATAATTTATGGAAGCTGCAGTTAATACAGTACCCGCATCGTTATTCTTTACAGGATACACGATACGATAGGATACACGCACGATACGATAGGATACACGCACGATACGATAGGATACACGCACGATAAGACAGGATACACGCACGATAGGATAAACGCAAAACACGATAAACGCAGAACACGATACACGCAAAACACGATAAACGCAAAACACGATAGACCTGATAAACGATCTTCACGATAGGATAAACGCAAAACCTGATAGGATTGTTTCAAAATGCGGAACGTTTTCTGACAAGACGAAAAGATTTTTTGAATTAAATTTAAAGATTAAAGATTATTTAAATTAAATCATATTTTAATTTAAATACTTGCAGAGCTTCAAATCTAAACTATAAAGTACATTTAATTATTATAATAGAACCTGAGATCTCTGTATTAATTTTACAAAAGTTGTTTATTTATATATATAAAAATTGACAGTGATTAAATGGATTTTCATGAAATGGAGACTGTATTTTTTTTTAATTTCTTCTCAAGGGTGTGAATTTTGACACTCTATAAACAGATTTATTATTTATGAAATATATATATTTTAATTTTCTATATAATAAATTTGTCTACAAGTACCAAGTTATTTCACGGAAGAAATTTACGCAATAAATTAAATATTTGTATTTAATGTCTAAAGCTTACAATCTGCGATGTATCCAAAAATCGCAATTAAACATTACTATCTTAGAAAAAATACAAATAGAAGACCGGCCGAAAGAAAGGATTAAAGAAAATGGCTTTAACAAAATTAATAAATTTAACATGATAGATCTATCAAGAACGAAACGGTTCAAGAAAATAAAATTTTCTGAATAGAAATCTAAATACTTATTAAAATAATGGCGTTCTGCATTAATACATGTAAACTGTGTCATGAGAATTTGAATCTGCTACAACTGCACATGTACGTTTACGCTAAGCTCTGACTTATGTACATGTAAACATTTTACATTACAGATACTTAAAACCTCGTACATGTATTTATTAACGAACATTGAATGTTAAATACTTTCTTCTTTACAATACAAAACAGAAAAATTAATTAACAAATATTAAAAGACTGAAATTCGACTTATCCGACTAAATAATTATAAATCATTGCTATTAAACTCTGTGTGTACTGTTTCTAATACATGTAATAACAAAAAATAGGTTTAATTCGGCAAATGAATTATTAAACCTTAAAAATCATTTTACACTGACCCGGTAATCTCATATTAGGCTTATTCGAAGGGCGGTATTTTGAAAGTCCGCAACCAATTTAAAATTAGATAAACAAGATTTAACCAAATAGCCAAATATAATATTGAATTCTTAAATAAAGTTATATAATAAGGAATAAAATCGATTAATACTATAAATTGATTCGGTGTATTTATTAGTCTTGCATGGTCACGGCGGATCAGACGACTCCTTTTGATTTATTTTTATAGTAAGATACCGTTAAAAAAATATTGCGAGCTAATTTTCATAGTTTAGAATGTTAGAACTATTTCATCCGTTTCTACGATCAATGAAATTGTTTCCTAGAATTAATTTTGTCCGTATTACGTAGAAAATCCGATGACCCGAAAGTGCATGTACCATAAGTACAGTATATTTTTAAAAGTTTATTAAAAAAATTATTTACATAAACATAATGGAAACATTGTACGAAATGAAAAAAAAATCAACGGAGTGAGTTTAGGAACTTCATTTCATTTAATTGATTTATTTGAATTTTATTTATTATTCAAGATGATTTTTTAATCCATAAATTGTACAATTATTTAATATATTTTGAATTAAATCTTTGATAAAATTGTTCAAACAAGTTAGAAACAAAATTCCGTAAATAAGTAGATGCGTTTCATTAGAACCAGGTAGTATTTGAGGTTACTAATTGACCCCAGGTGAGAAATCAGTACAGGTATGTTGACGGTGATCAGACACACGGGCCGAGGTGTCAGTTAGGGGAGAAGGGGGAGGGGGTGGTTGACCGCACAGGACGACAGTGTGCTAATTAGAGAGCTACACATACGTGTCAGTTTTGATTTTCGGCATCCCGCTGGATTATATTTTGAGTTTATTTCCACGCCGAAAAGGTAAGCTGTTAAAAAACTTCATGCTTTCCCCTGTACATGTATATATTATTTTTATGTTATCTAATGCCAGATAAAATAATGAAAATCTTCTATTTTATAGTAACAGCCATGTGTGATAAATTGGGTAGAATATTTTCATGCAGTATATTTTATAATTTTGATTTCTTTTATTAATTTAGACATATGTCAAGGAATGTATAAGTAGCTTTAAAAAATAAATTGAAAATTTGAAAGTATACGGCCAAAATCGTTGTTAAAATCATCTGGATCATTGTCTTATGTTATATTATATTTTTAACATCAAGACTTTAAATAATTGTGCATACATGCAGGTCAGACGCGTAAACATATTCCTAACGTTATCAGACGATAAACAAGGAAGAACAGAATATTGCATGAAAAAAAAGATACATTTCAATATCCTGCTTATTATTTTATTATTTGCTTTTTGTGTACGGGAACATCGTAGCTTACCAAAAATCTTTCTCCGGTAACCCTGATTCATTTGAGAAAATCATATTAAATAGTGTTTAATTTTGACAAAATAAATCATACAATTCGATAAATTATTTTTTTAAAGAAATAGACCAGGTGATCATCTACTTATAATTTCATTTCCGAAAAATAGAGTTACTGTTTAAATTTTGACAATTACTCTCTGCTTTACCATGATATAATTATTTTATTTATTTAATTAATTATTCATTAATAAATCAATTTATTCATTCATGAAATACGCGATTAATTATTTTTTCCTTCTACGCTTGAATATTTCTTATATTGATGAAAAAGAAAGGGATGAATCTTTATTTTCTCTTTTTCGGTTGAATTAATCTTATTTTTATTAACAAAACGAAGAAGAAACTCGGAATAGCTCAGTAGTTTCTTTACATAGTAAAGATAAAAAGCGAGGGTTTCCGAATATACACGATAAACGCAAAACACGATACACGATAGAACCTGATAAACGATCTACACGATAAACGCAAAACACGATAAACGGAAAACACGATAGAAAACGCAAAACCTGATAAACGGAAAACACGATACGATAGGATACGATAGGATACACGCACGATACGATAGGATACACGCACGATACGATAGGATACACGCACGATAGAACACGATAGAATTGTAAAGAATAACGATGCGGGTACTGTATGTGGATACGACATTTGCATATATTGATACCTGAATGTTTGTTACATAAACAAATTATACATGTATATAATGTTATGCATAAAAATATTTATGATATACTGAATAAATTGCATAAAGAATAAAGAACTTACGAAATATACATCATCTCTGTAATTCTTCAATTCCATCTAAAACGAAAGTGGAAAAAAATATATCTATCAGACGCGCATGTGACGTTGAAGTGGGATAGGTCTATCGATTTTCTATTCATTTATAGAATCTTTTAATTTAAAGTCTAGGCGTAAAGATGGAGTTCTGTAGATTTTTCTTGTATTTCTACTGGACAGGAAGTTTTCATACTAATCTTTAAATGATAAATTCATTTAAAATCCTGCGCCGAGTTTTTCTGGAATAATTTCCCCTGAATATGTACGGTAGATACATGTATGTGTTAATCTTAAATAATGTTTCAATGATTAAATGAAATTATATATAAGTTATGTTACGACTTACGGCTGTCTATGTTTAGCGGCGTAACATTGTGGGGCTCCTTAATCTGAATGTTGAACGAAAGACAACAGGATATAAATTATTTTTAATATTTATTAGATTTTATTTAAAGAAATGTACACAAAACTCTTCTTTGGCTCTGCGGTCTTCACCTGAAATAAAAACAAACCACCCTTTCCAACAAATGTTAGTATAAAAACCACTCTTTAACAAACCCTTTAATAAATATTAATAGACCTA